AACATTCCCACTGGCTGCCCTGCTCTGAGGGTTTCCATAAAAGGGGTGCCAGGGATGGCAGAGGAGGGAAATGGCCGCGGATACACATGGGCAGCAGCTCGGCATCTGGGGACCGCCACACGATACAGAGGACAGCTCTGGCTTCACAGGACCCACACCGACTCGGCCGGCACCATCACTCCCAGGCTCCAGGTACCTGACCAGTTAAGGAGGGACGCCCTGACAATCTCTCACTCTATGAGGACAATCCACTCAGAGCTTCTTTGGAGTAAGTGACAAGGGCTGATGTCAGTAGACTGAATGAACAGAGGGAGGAGAGAAGGGCCGAGGATGACCCTGACATCTCAGAAAAGGTGGCCACAGTGAGCCCCCTGGTTTGTGGTGGCATCACAAAACTGCCTCTGTCTCCCAGACAAACACACCTAGCTCGGTTCCCACGCAGTTTCTCCCCTGCTGTGTGACATCACACCCATACTTTGGATTCTCTGAGCCTACCGTCTCCTCAAGGGGAAACTGAGAACATTAATCTAACCACCTGCAAGATTAGTATCTGAGATGTATAAACCTTTCACATCATGAGAAGATGAAAGGCGAAACACAGGGAGCCGGCAGCAGAGGATAAACAGGCAATTCACAGAGGAGGAATCTCAGCCGGCCAAGGAAGGCACACAAGGCCACTGGACCTCATTAGCAAGCAGGGAAAGGCTAAGGAGCACCACCATGGGACACTACCGTGCAGCACGAAGACTGGCATCCATCAACTACAAAGTCTGACAATAGAGAGACTGGCCCAGCACAGAGGGAAGCCAGGGAGGTGGCTCCTGCAGGGACACGCAGAGTTGAACATAAACTCCAAGGCCCAGCAGAGTTCCTGTGCTGGGACTACACACAGGAACAGTTCCAGCCAGGTTACCTCCTGGGAAGAACAGCCCTGAGTCCCCAGGAGGAGAGGACCTTCAAAATGGAGGGAAATAGCCACACATGGAGTACTATGCAGCCGTGAAGATGAACTGGGGCTTCTGTATTAACACAGATCTGAACAGGGCAAGATTTTTTTATAGTTTCAAAACACTGAAGACAAGATTGAGATGGGTTAGCAGGTAAAACATGTAAAGGACAAGGAAGGGGATACTGAGGGCAAATGGGGTGACAGAAATGTTATAAAACTGGACTGGGGTGATGGCTATTCAGCCCTACACAGTTTCTACAAATGCCAGTGACCTCTATGGTTACAATGGGTCACTGTGGTGGTATATAAATGATATGTGAAGAAGACAGCTAAATTTAAAAAAAGTTACCCCTATGAACCCCTATTTTATGTGTGTAGATGTTGCCTGAATGTATGTGCACCACATGTGTGCCTGGTGTCTGTGGAGACCAGAAGAGGGCGTCAAATCCCCTGGAACTGGAGTCACAGATGGTTGTGAAGCTCCATGTGGGTACTGGGAATCAAACCCAGGTCCTCTGCAAGGGCAACACATGCGCTTAACCACTGAGCCATCTCTCCAACCTGTGAATCTGTATTTTAAGTGAGTGAGGGCCAGGCACGGCAGTCTGTAATCCCAGCACTTAGAAGGCAAAGGCAGGCAGAGCTCTGTGAGTTCAAGGACAGCCTGGTATACATGGTTAGTTCCAGGCCCGCCTGGGCTACCAACTGGGAATGATAAATAACAGATGTGGGGCAGTGGTTTGGGGAAAGATGTGAGTGGAAGGGCACACGGGGGCTCTGCCCCTGTGATTTATCTATTTTAAATATGAAGACAAAAGGGACCTGAGACAAATGCACAGCCCAGCAGGGGCAGGAGTCTACGGATGGGGTGGGCTTTTTTCTGTCTGTGCCTCTGAAACACTGAAGTCACATGAAGGGAGTCTACCACTCTCAAAGAGCTGTCAGGACAACGAAACCCACACCCAAGGCTCCATCTAGGGCTAGTTAGTACTGCTGTGGTTGGGGACCCTACTGTTCTCTTGACCCTGTGTGTCCTTTATCAGTACAGGGGAGAGGATCCCAACAAGACCTCCAGAGCCTACAGGTTGCTGCTAGAAGACACTCCAGTTGGAGGGTGGCCCCAGGATGTCACTCTGAGGAGTTCTCTTCACATTTATTCTGAAGTCCAGGCTCTGAGTGGGGCAGGCACATCAAGGGTGGCACACAGTGACACCAGCCTTGTCCACAGGTGAAGGCGGCCCCTGTGGAGAGCCTGCTAACCTGACATGGAGGTGCAGCGGGGGGACCTGGCCCTGAGCCCCAGGTACTGTTGTCTAACTGAAGCCTCAGAACCGGGTCTCATCTAGGCCCGGCATCAGAGGCACATTGCACTGTGGCGGTGTGACAGGGGCAGAAGTACGTGGTGTCTCACCCCTGTTAAGGTCTGGATATGGTCTGTCCACGTTCAAGAGTTTTGTGTTGGAACCTTGGTCCCCAGTGTGGTGACCTGAGAAGTGGTAGGACCTAAGAGGCAGAGCCTAGGGAGAGGCAGTTAGGTGATTGGGTGCATGGCCTTAACAGAGATTAAGGTAGTTTTTCCAGGACCTCAGTTCCCAAAGGGCTGGTTGTTACAAAGGAGCAAAGCGGCTCCTCCCCCATCGTTCTGGCTTCTAGTCTCAGCATACAATCACTCCTGCTATACATGCTCCCCCCATGATGTCACCTATGACTCTGGGATGGAGCCAAGAAGTCCAGGGGCCAAACTGATGAGGCAGCCCAGTCTTGGACTTCCAGCTTCCCAGGCGGCTAAAGAAACCTCTTTATTTCACACAGGACTGCACCTCAGGTACTTGGCTCTACAACGAAAAACAGACTAAGACGGTCCTCTGTCCATATTTTTGGTTGCTACCACTGAGGAAAGGGGAGCTGCTGTATGGAGGGCAGAAGCAAGGGTACTTCAGCCAGGCTGCCAACACCTGTTTTCCTGACCCACTCCCTTCAGTGTGCGGAGCTGGGGGGACAGGTGATACGGTCCACGTCTGCTGCTGTTGGCTTTGGGACCCTCCTACCATTGTACCAAATTATCTGCTCCTCTGGATGACTCAGGGTGCATTCATCCCCACCCCCTTCCTCATCTGGGGCATCAAAGGCAGGGAGAAGGCTCCTTGTCACAGCAGTGACTAAGCCCACGTTCAGAGGAACGAGTTCTCGGAACAAGCTCCCGCATGACTTCAGCATGGTTCCAATCAGAGAGACATGGACACCAAGGGGCTACCGTTAAGTTAAGGAACGCCATGTCGATCACATGACTGTTCCTGACGGGAGGGGGCATCACCACCCCATCTTTCATCTGAGGACACAGAGACTCCAAGAAGTAACAGCAACCTGGGAGTCCAAGAGCTGAGCCCCAAGCTAGGCTGCTATGTAGACCTGGCTCAGTGGGCCCCTAACAGTTTGCTGGAAGTTCAGGGGTACCCCTCAAAGCTGCAAAACGCTGGCAGGGAGACGTGGCCCTGAGTGGATTCCCAGGTTTTGAAAGGACTTTGTCCAGGGCTTCTGTGGGTGTGTGGGGTCTGAGAAGAGGCGTGGTCACAAAATTTTTGGTCCAACAGGCCTGGATTTACACACTTGCTCTGCTCCTGACTGTTAGTGTCCTTCATCTGTGAAACGGACTTGAGAAAACCACTACTAAAGGTGTGCGACAGCCCGAGAGAGTGTGGGCCGTGATGCCCAGTCCTCGGGGACTGTAGCTCTTCTGGTTTGGCGGGCTCACAGATCTGGTGGGCTCACAGATCTGGTGGCAGGCGGCATAGACAATTCTCCACTTCCTCCAGTTGGTGTGTTACTGAAAACTGTCCCGTACCCAAGAGGCAACTCAGCAGGCTCCAACAAGAAACCAAGATCTGGCAGCATTTTCAACAGTGAAGGGGAGAAAAGGGGGTGGGGTGTGGGGAAACCAAGACAATTTAGCTGAGCTCTGAAGCAAGGAAAACTTAGCTCTATTTAAAGATACCACAGGTCCAGGAAGCAGCCCCCGCGGGCTGGCCCAGGACTGAGTAACTGAACGCCTAGCCAATAACAATACATGGGAACACAGCACACCCTTTCTTGCAGAGTGCAGTGGATTCCCGGCCATCTCCTTCCAGAATTTTATGGGCGACTCCTGGAAGGCATGGATATCTGTCTGCTTTGTAAGAACGGCTCTCTTAAACAAACAGACCCCAAAGGGGCTTCCAGGGAGGCCCCTGGCTAGCCTTCCTCCAGCCAACGCCCTTTTTAGTTATTGTTCCACATTTCTTTGTTAGGATTTTTTTTTCCCTCCCTCTTGCTTTTCTCCTTCCTGGTTAACTTCTCCAGGGCTGCCACAGGCAGCTTCTTCCAGGCGGGGACACCAGCTCCCTTCACTCCTGGAGGGAAGTCCCCAGGGCCTCCTCTGGATCCACTGTCCTACTTCTCAGAATCTCTGAGGTGGAACCTGGGCCACCTCAAGCACAGACAAGGTCCCTAAGCAGCCCTGGAGGCCACTTCCCACCTGAGGGTCACCGTGGGCCCGGGGCCCACCGTCCATGTTCTAGAACCCTCAGCCTTCCCATCCGCAAAATGACACCGGGAACCCATTTCCTCCCCATCTTGTCTGCTCCAAACAAAATTCTCATTTCACAGAGGGGGGTACTCCTGGGGAAACTTTCCCACATTGCTAAACTGGAAGTTACTGGAGAGGGGCACTCAAATGACCCATGCTCAGAAGGACGAGGGGCTTGGTTGGCTGACCCCACGAGGCTGGGCGCCTCTGGACAGGAGGGTGGCCTGAAACCGCGCCTCCGTGGGGCTCTCTCCTGGTTTCTGTCTGAGTCTCCAGCAGCAGCTGGGGCCAGACTTTTGCACGGGTGGGTGGGCAGGGCGGGGGCTCGCGGAGAGATGGCAGGGAGGGCGCGGGGGCCCGGGGCGCGCGGGGAGATGGCGGGGAGGGTGCGGGGACCAGGGGCGCGTGGAGAGACAGACGGCAGGGAGGGCGCGGGGCACAAGTTCTGCGCGGGGCTGGGGTCGCCGCGTGGCGCGGGCGCAGACTCACATAATGCTTGTTGGGCACGCGCCGCTTCTGCACGTCCAGCACCTTCACCTCCACGATGCTGCGCCGCGGCGGCATGGCGGTTCTCCGCGCCCAGCGCCGTGCGGGCCGGGCCGGGCCAACGCGATCCGAGCCGCCGAGCACTAGCCGCCGCCGCCGCCGCCGCCGCCGCCCTCCGCGCCCCGCCCCTGCCCGCCCCCGCGCCGCCCGCCCACCCCGCTTAAAGGGCCCGCCCGGCCTGGCCGGGCCACGTCCGCCCGCGGGCCTTTGTCCCCGCGCCCGGCGGGACGGCGCGCCCCGCCCCCCGCGCCCCGGCCTGGCGACTATAAGCCCACGCATCCAAGCAGCCTGCTCGGGCTCTCCATCCCCGAAATGGGCTCAGGGCGGGTGCCCACCCCGCGCCCACCCGGGTGCCCACCCCCCTCGGTGTCTGCGAACCGCGGACATTCCAGTCGCTATAAATCCGGTCTCCCACCCCCAGCTCTAGGAATTCAGAAAAGCAGTGGTGACTAGGTCTCCTGGGTTCACTGTCTGTGACATGGAGAGAAAAACTGCAAAAGTGCCCTCGCGGTCCTGCAAAGGGCGGCGAATGTGAGCGAAAGTGGGGGTGCTGGGTAGGTAGCGAACCCCTGCCCCCCATGGTGGACTGAGTCCACACCTGGCCCTGTGCCCTGTCCTTTTCACAGATGCCCGCTTAAAGTCTCAGAACACCCCGGTATTGGGGAAGACGATTAATCACCTTTTACAGAGGACCTGAGAGCGGCCTCCAGAATCATGGAGCAGGTGGTTTGAACCCATGGCTGCCCCACACTAAGCAAATCAAAGCTACAAGTGGCTCCACACTTTTCCACCTAGCACCTCCTAACGTTGGCTGGGCACTCAGTGCTGGCCGAATGAATGAACGAATGAATGAACGAATGAATGAATGACCGGACAGGCATAACAGCAGGGATGGGTAGTTCAGGCTTCAGGTCAATGTTCTCACAGCCACTGAGCGGGGGTGGGGGGTGGGGGGAGGTGGGGGGGGGGGTGGTGTGTGTGTGTGTGTGTGTGTGTGTGTGTGTGTGTGTGTGTGTGTGTGTGTGTGTGTGTTTCCCCTCCAGGCACCTTCCCACCCATAGTCCAAGTTCAGCCAAGGAATTTCTCAGGGGAGGGTCCCCTCAGTCCAATCATGCCTTGCAGATAGTTTGGTTTTGATTCCCTCTGGAAACCCCTCCATTACCTTTCTGACTTCCTTGCCCATCTTTCCCACTGCTCTGGCTGTAGAGGCTGGTCTGATGGGCTTCACCAGTAGATGCCCTGTGCTTGGGTAACTTGGCTGGTGGGAGGCCTTGGCAGGAGAAGTCTGGGTAACCCTCCTCCCCCAACTCTCTTCTGAATTGTCTTTACCAAAGGCCACGGTTTTGTACTAGCGGTGGGCACAGTTCCGGGCACAGGACCCTTTTCTTGGTTCCCTTGGTACAGCCCATCCCTTGACAAACAGACTCTTAATTAAGCGGTTTTCGCTGACCCATTTGGAGAGTGGCATCCATTTTGGACTAGGGCCTTCTTTGGCCCAGTCATCCGCTCCAGGCTTTCTCTTCAGCAGAGTGGCCATCCAAGGCACCCTCTGGCCACACTGGAAATAGGCAATGTGGTGACGCACCTGACTTCTGCCATCCTCTGCACAAAGCAAGCCTCCCTAACAAGCAGAACCATAGACTGTAGAATCTGGATGCAATCAGACAGTGTCCCCAGCTCCAGGTTCCCAGCTCCCAGGTTCCCAGCTCCAGGTTCCCAGCTCTCCAGGTGTGTCTCGTTCCCTGCCTGGCAGGCCTGGCCTGGGGAGATTATGATGTTATGATGTCCCGCTTCCTGCCTGTAGCCGCGGTTATATGCCTCATCACTCATGTCCCTCACCCTTTCCCCCCGCCTGCTGAATTCTGTCTGTATGAGTCTAATCACGCTGGGTCACTCAAGAAAGTTCAGTCTCGGCCTTCGTCGTGGGTGTCTGTCTGATTTCACTCAGTGTCCTCAAGGTTCATCCTCATCCTCGTTACCTGCTTCAGAGTCTCCTTCCTTTCTGTGGCTGATTATTACTACTATTTCACTGTGCGCTCTTTACACATCTCCTTCTTCCATGTTCCCAATGGTCACTTTAGTGTCACCGCCTTTGGGCTACCGTGACTAAGGCTGCTGGGAATGTTGACACACTGATATCTGTTCAAAGTCCTTGCTTTAGGGTATAATCCGGAAGCAGAATTTCTGGATTGCTGGTAATTCTGTCTTGATTTGTTCATTCTTTTGTGGAATTGCCCTTCTGTCTGCCTGGTGGCCATGCCGTTCTTACTTCCCAGGAGCAGTGCACAAGAGGTCCAGCCTTCTCTACCCTGCTCCCTGAGCCTGTTACTTTCTGCTTCCTCTATTGTTCTTGACCACAGCCGCCCCAATGGTGTGGATCAGTGACTCATTCTAGCTTTTATTTGCATTTCCCCAGTGATTAGTGACAGGGGGAAAAAATGCCTGTTTAAGCTCTTTGTCAAACTTTATACGGGGTGTCGGCGCCTTTTCTCTTGCCTTTCTGAATCTGCGACTTAACCTCCTACACTTCTGGGCTTTCCCAAGCAGGCAGCCTCTTTGAGGTAGGGTGGGGACTGAACAGTGGGCTAATGATGTGATTTAGGTTGGCTATTCACACTGGAAAGGGCCACCCAGGCTTTGCTTGGGAGGCACTGAGGATTATCTGCTGGGAAAACAGAACAAGAAACAACAACACCCCAAACGAAAAATGAACCCTCAACTCACATGGTCAGTAGAGCTTAAGGGGGCAGGGCTACCTATTATGGTACTTGGCTGGCCACACAAAACACTTCTGCAAATTCAAGTGCACCAGGGGATCCAACTGTCTAGCAGGAGAAAAAAAATCCCACTTGGATTCTAAACTGACTCCAGCCACTCACCAGCCTGATAGTATTTGCTGAGGTTTGCCCGTGAGTTTGGCACGGGCCTGGCACTTTACATGCGTATGTCTTACTAGGGTACCATAGCCCTGTGACTTACCAGCCATGCTTTCTGATTGCAGCTGGGGAAGTTGAAGAGGTTTGAACAGGCAGCGCTTCCTTGAGACGACAGTGTTGGCATAAAGTGGTGCCTGCAGATTGTCTGACTCCACACTTGGTGCCCAGCCATAAACCTGTGTCCACCCGCGGGCAAGTCCCTCGCTCTTCTCATCCACAGGGGGCAGAAGAACAGACAGCTACAGTCTTGGAGGCGTGTCTGAGGGAGGTAGTTCACGGACAGTGCGTGTATTTTTGTGAATCTTCTGCCAGCTGAACTGATAACAGCTAAGTCCTCCCTTAAGCCTCACAGAAGCCCCAGGTTCGACTTTAATCTCGGTGATGCCCAAACCATAACTGTATTTTTCTTACTCCAAACCTCTGGAAGCTCTTGATCACGTGTCCAGCCTCATTCCCTACCAGTCACCTCCCTCTTCTGGTTCCCAAGGACTGGGGGGAGGCTCAGGGATAAAATCCTTACTGTGCAAGCATGAGGACCTGAGTGTGGGTCCCTAATACCCATATGAAAAGCTGAGTGCAGTGGCTCATGTCTGCAAACTCCCCAGTGGGGAAGGGGTCACAAGACAGGCCCCTGGAGCTTGCCGGCCAGCCGGTCTAGCCGATAGATGACCTTCAAATTCAGTGTCAGACCCTGTCTCAAAAAATCAGGGAGAGAGGGACAGAGAAAAACACACAGACTCCAACATGCGCACACAGATAAGTGCACTTACACCAACACCTAGACACACCGAGAAACACCACACATGCTGTAGTTAGAGTTTTGTCAACTTGACTCAAACCTAGACACACCTGGGAAGACAGAATCTCACTGAAGAATTGCCTCCCTCAGACTGGCCTGTGGGCATGGCTGTAGGGCATTTTCTTGACAGCTCGTTGATAAGGAGGGCCCAGCCCACTGCGGGCGGTGTGGTCCCTAGGCAGGTGGGCCTTGGTTGTATAAGAAAGGTAGCTGAGCAAGCCAGGGGAGCAGCCTGTGAGCAGTGCTCTTCCATGGTCTCTTCTCCAGTCTGCCCTCACTGCCCCCAGTGACAGATAGATGGCTTGGGGGTTGTAAGATGAAGCAAATTCCTTCCTCTCCAATTTGGTTTTGGTCATGGTGTTTCATCACAGCAATAAAAACTCAATTAGAACAACACACAAAAACAAAAGACAAGAAGAAGAAAAGGGGGCGAGGTGGCTCAGAGGATAAAGGGGCTGGCGGCGAGGTGGCTCAAGCCTGATGGCCTGCAGCCCATATAGCAGGAGGAAAGAATCCCCTGAATTGTCCCCTGCCCTCCACACATGCATTGCGACACACCGGCCCAGTGGACACACCCACAGAAACAAACGAGGGTCGAGTCAACAGGACCACCACTGGGAGGGAAGCCCATCCCAGCCCCCTCCCGTCCTGTGCAGACATTCCAGACAGAAGAGCCTCCTCCTCCTTCCTGGGGCAATCTTTCTGTTTTCCCAAGCCAACACTCTCCACACCATTCCTGCACATCCTGGTTTAACCCTTAGCACTACCAGGCCAAAGTGGACCTCAGGCCCTTCCCCAGCTCTGATGAAATCCGTAGCCCATGAGAGAGGCTCAGTTCACAGTTTCACCTTCTCATAGCGGGTCCTCCTCGGGTTTATTCTGAAACAAACATTTTCTTCACTGTTGAGCCACCTCTGCATTTTCTTAAAAATGTAAATGTAATTTTTTCTCTTTCTTTCTTTCCTTTTTTTTTTTTTCCTTAAAGAACAGGAGGGCTGGAGAGACGGCTCAGCAGTTAAGAACTCTTGCAGAGGACCTGAGTCTTGTTCCCCACACTCACCAAGAAAGGCTCAGAACCTGTAACTCCAGCTCCAGGGGCTCTGATGCCCTCTTCTGTCCTTTGAGGGCATCTGCATTCACACACATGCAGATAAAATATGTCCTAAAAAAAAAAAAAAGTCTTCTTCAGGGAACAGCTGTACCTTGCATATCCATTCTATTTCCACAGCCATCAGTGGTTTAATGATTGGCACACGGTCTTCAGGGCGCCCTCTACAGGCTGGTGTGAGAGTGCACTGTTTATCAGCACCATCATCATTTCTAGCATCATCATGGCTTTGCACAACCCAGTGCTTGTTAAATGTCTA